ATGTATTGAAGAACTAGACATGGGTAAATGACACAACAAAATGCAACCTGCATAGTAACAAGGATACAATAACAATTACAACAATCATTTTCAAAAATAAAATCAATCTAAAAGTCGTTACTGTTTAAAATGAGGAATCACTATTAGGGGCTCATTATTGAGGGACCACATATCAAATTAAGTTATGTGTAATACAGTACCAAACAGGTAAATCAACTCAGTTTTTTCCCGTGTTGCACTTTAGCTAAAGTTCCAGATAACAAATCAAGAATCACTTTTTAAATGTCATTAACCTACTGTTTAACAAACCCTCTTGATATGTAAAAATAAATAAGACCAGATGTTAGTTAATTAGTTAATAAGCTATTGTTAGTTCATAGTTGTTTGGTAGCTGCCAATAAATAAGGTAGGTTGTTGTACTAGACAGTTGAATCTAGCTTTAATGTAGATAAATTGAATTAATAATCAAGTGAAGTGCACAGTTTCTTTGACCTTCTGTTTCTATCCTCTTCTCTCTATCCTCTCTATTTTGTTATTCCCTTTTTTCACCTCTTCTTGCCCGTCTTTCTGTTTCTCTTTCCCGCCTAAATTCTATATCACCCATACTCTTCACTTGTTATTCCTGTGCATTATTATAAACAAAGGTTTGTCTTTTATGATACTGATATGTTTGTGTATAATACAAATTAGTATGTTGTGGTAGCTTTCTATCCGATATGCAGTTCTTTCGTAACATAATATGATCAACAGTCTCATATATATAATAGGCACATCTAACATGTTAAAATTCTAAAAAAGTATATTACAAGTTGGTACACATACTATTCCTGACTAAAGGAAAAATATTCATCAACCTTGCATAAATCTGTAATAAAATAACACTAATCATTCTGGGGTATTATCTATTAGGAGGGTCAGCCAGTGAACAGAAATTGAAAGTTAACCATGAAGCCGAAAGGCAACTTAATACTTATTGGCCACACATACCCTTACAGGTGTTTGTCTGTAGTAACCAAGGTCTGAAAACATAGCTTCAGTTCCTGGAGGTGACAAGAAAAACAGAATGAATTTGGAAGAATAAGGCTTAAGCAGAACTTTAATTTTAAAAGTGATGCCAGACCTGTAACGCACAAAAATACTCCTCCGAGACTAGTCCAACCATCTTTTCCTGTAAGCCTAAAAAACTTGTAAATATAGTATGGAGAGAGAGCCTGATATATTCGTGGGTTCCAATTGATGACATTGTAAGTGCCAATCATGAAAATAGTCAGTAACCATAGGATGATTATGAGAGGAAACACGAATGCAACCTTGTAGGAACCACGATGTTGCATAACAAAGAGTCCAATAAGTAGAACACAAGAAATATGAGACACCACACCTATGAAATGGCATAGATGTAAGTTTTGATAGAAAAAATAGATGATATTTTTCAAGGAAGGAATATAGGACCCGGTACTGTATAACAAGCGTCAAGTGAGAATTTTTCTCAAATGTTATCATGAGAAAAAATCTTTATCATACAAGATACAACCATACATGAATTATCAAGATTAAAACTAAAGAAAACCAATATTGAGCCTCCATATATGATTATATAATAAAGACTTGTTCCCCATTAGTTTTGCCTTTGCTGAAGAAGAACAATGATAAGCAAGGTTAATTCAACTTTTTCAGAAAAAAAAAAGTTCATAATGTAGAACATAATCAAGAGACCGTTATTTCTTTTAATTAATCCATGCACCATATAATGAGCTTGGGGTAAAATAAGGGGAGTTATCTATGTTAAGGACCTTAATCAACGTCTTCCTGAGTTTAGAATAGGTTTAATATGCCTGAGTTTAGGTTTGTTTGATTTTCTCATGAGTCTTGGCTGAGTCTCCTCATAATTGTATTTTGTGTTCTATTTTTCTTTTTATAACATGGGCACATGATTGGTGAGGTATGGAGTGCTAACCTAGTTATGATTCCTTAGTTCACAGTGATGCCACTCATGTTACCGTTTAGAAAAAAAAAATATTAGATTAATTTAACTCGTTTAGATTTTATTTTATTTTTTTGTGTATACAATGATGCTAGCAAGGTTTGAACCTAAGAGCTTAGGCAAACAACCGAAACCCCTGACAACTAGGCCAACCCTAGTGAGTAATTCATGTAGATCATTTAAGCTCTGGGTAATTCCACTTACTTTTGTCTGTATGCTTTGCTTCAATTTTCAGGCCTTCAATGGATGAAAGAACTGCAAGATGGAATTCTTATTAACAATAGAGCTAATGCAACGGTAAAACATCAATCAGATAAGTTGTCCCATCAGACACAATAACATATTTGGGAAGAGAAAAATGTGACCTTACCAGAAATGGCAGGCATGAGTGCACCAACACAAATCACCATGCAAGCACCCAGTAAGACAAAAATAAACAAAGCCATCTTTGTATTCTTGTGTTTCTCAATGAATTTTTTCAAATGTGAAGGTGGTATACTTCTATTTGAGGAACTAAGTTTGCGATACGTAGAAAGCTCCTCATCAGAAGCTTGAAGATTAGGAAGCAAACAAAATTTAGCAGTTCTGCAAAGCTGTGAATACAAAGCAACAATTCCCCCTGTAAAGTTGAATTAATTGAATTACCACAATAAATATAGTAATGAGTAAAAAAGGATTTAGCTTGACAGAAAAATAAAGAAAAATAGTCCTTACCTTCACCATTATCATCCGCACTTAAAATAATAATTGCATACTTCAACAAAGAAACAATTGAAAGAGTCCAAAATATCAAAGAAAATGCGCCAAATATTGCATCTTCATTCTGGACCTGTTTCAGTCTTCCCGAAAATATACTTTGATAGACATAAAGTGGGGATAAGCTCAAGTCACCAAACAAAAAGCCTAAACTTTGGTATGCCAAAAACAAAAGTGTTCTGCATTGAAATTGCCGTTCTATCTGCTAATTGAGAAAAAAAAAATTATTATGCGCATATATATGGTCTTCTGCTCAGGCTTACAACTCCGATAAGTTGCTCATTTGCCACCAAATAAAAAAGAAAAGAGATGCAGAAGAACACAAGTATTGCATAAAAAGCTTCTAACAATATATCATACGACAACAATACACAATAGCGAATTATGTTCAGGAACAGTTTCATTTACATTTCCTAAGCTTCTAACAACGTAGCATATGTCCACCACACTCTCCACAGAACAACTCGCATTTCTTTCTCGGTTTCTGATGCAAAATATATTAAATGTTGCCTGTGATTGCTACTATGCCTTGTAAACTTTCAAACTACGCAGCAAAACCATGTTTCGTTACGAGGCCAGTAATCCACGTTTATATTGACGATGGTGTTTGAAACAACGGATCTCATTTTCACTTCGCACATTGTCTTCTTACGGTAAAATTCGATAAAACAGTGCTTATTCAATAACACGTATTCATTCGTTAGAATTCGATCAATTCTCCGAAAAACGAATCTGATAAAATCGGAAAACAAGTGAAGAAAGTTCCAGAACGTTTTTGACATATTTTGTGGTTATGTTAGGTTTTGAATTGGGGAACAAAAGAGGAGAAAATGTACCACGGTTGATGCACCTCGTTCCCTACTCGCATCTGAGTTCATAGCGAAAGAAGAAAACAGAGCAAGAGTTTTTGGTTGAGAGAGACAGAGAGAGCTTTGTCGTTGCGCGCTTTTGGAAAGAAAAAACCACTCCAACTGTATATTGGGACCGCGAAATTGCCTCCAATTAGACCGTATTTGATTATTTTATTATTTACGCCATAAATTGTTCTTCCATTGCAAAATGGCGCGGTAATGGTAAAAGTGTCTGGTAAAAACTCAACCAATCAAAATGTGTGTTTAGAAAATTAATTCTTCCTATTTTTCAAAATTAATTCGAAACTTAAAAAAAAATATATCACAAACATTCTTAATTACGTCTATTAAAATATAGTTTGAGGCATGGGTACCGAATTTTTATATTATTAAAATATATATTTTAATTAATAAAATTATTCACAAAATATATTTTATTTAATTCAAAAAATTGTCGTGATAGCACTCATATAATTTTCAGAATTCTAATAGAGCACTTTCATCAATAACAAGTTTGTATAAAATTAAAATATTTAACAAGTTTGTATAATCATCAACACTTGGTGCAAATAACTCATTACTGTTGGTTGACGTATACGTGGCAACAAAAAGAAAATACTCGTTCAACATTTTTATTTTTATTTTTAAGTTTCTTATTTTATCCTTTTTATATGGAATATTGATATTGCAATCATATTGATTAAAATTTTAAATAAAATATAAAGATATAATAATAAAATTAATATTATCTTATTAAAACTAACTTATAAATATAATAGACAATCTTCTCAGCGCTGACACTTCAATAAAGGGAGAGAAAAACTGTTTGTAGATAAGTTCAAGAAAAAAAAAAAAAAAAGCCGCAACTCCAACCAGGAAATGACCTTGACTTCAGAAAAAAAAAAAGTAAATAGAATATTATTCCTACAGTTCCAAAACTGGTCTAAACTATTACTATTTTTGTATGCTAAAATACTCATATATTAATGTATTAATTTTGTAAAACTTCATGTTTTTTATTAGATATTAATAAGGGTATACCTGAAAAAAAATATAAATGTTATTTTAATGTATTAAACTAAAATTTTAGAATAATACTAAATTGGTTAAACAAATATAAATTTAGAACGTATGAAATATTTGAAAAAAGAATATTATCCTGGGTTTGAGTATGAAAAAACATCATCTACTTCTTTAAAAAATCTCAACACTCGGCATAAACCAATAGAAAAACTGAATAAAATTGCACTTTCTTAACCTCACTCAAGAAAAAAGTTTGATTTGTACAAAATAGATTACACATTCATGTCTGCTCGTGCTGTAGGAAAAAAAAATGGTGCAACTAGACCCACAAATATCATGTGAGTGATACTAAAGCGAGTAAAGAATAAAAAAAAGGAATGCAGAACTTATTTGCGACGTCTGTGGGTTACGTGGCTTATGTCAGGGTTGCCTTTCCTCATCATGGCTACAAACTCATCATAGTTAATTCTTCCATCCTGCAAGAAATTTGAGAATTACTATTGTAAAAGATTAATTAAACAACACTGTATAAAACGAACCATGTAAGAATGCAGCTTTTCTAGTTAAAAAAACACGGAAAATTCTAGACCTGTTCCATTTACTTTATGAAAGAAGAAAGCAATATTACCCGACAAAATACTCACTTTTCTAGAATGACATTATTGTTGCGTGTGAATGTGAATATGTCAAAAAAGATACGGATATAAAGGAAGCAAAAAAGGAGTAAAAAGAAAGTAATTACATTGTCTGTATCAACTTCGGCGATGATCTCCTTTATTGTTTTCTCATCACCCATATTATACTTCTTGAGGGCAGATTCCAACTCTTCCATTGTGATGTACCTAAATAGAAGCAACAAGAAGAAAACCAACACATAAATCTACAGTTAAGGTGATAATTTGCTAATTTACAAATTAGAATGAAAAATAAATGAGATTACCCGCTCTTATCATCGTCAAAATATTCAAAGGCTTTATAAAGGTGATCCTCTCTTTCCATTCTATTCATGTGCATAGTAGCAGTTATAAATTCAATGTAATCAATGGTTCCATTTCCGTCTACATCAGCCTGAAAACCAAATAATTACGTCATACTTTTTGAGGAAAAAATAGTAAAATCAAGAGAAGTGACACACTAGTCATCACAATATCATGTACCCCCATAAACAGCAATTGCTACACAGAGCACATGGATTCATAAAGCATAAAGATCTTTGTAAGTGCAAAACAAGGATTGAATGCTGACGATTATCAACAAGACAGGAGATGATTGACGAGGCTCAACTAGTTAGTGGACTTCGTGAACCACTAGTCCAAGGGAACGATGGGAAGGAGTATATGTGAGAAAGAAGAATCATATGGCTCGTGTGACATGATTAGAGGGGAAAGGTAGTAGAGGAGGGAGTAATATTTTTTGTTATAGAGAATCAGTTACGAAGGTGATGAGGGGGATATTGGCGAGTATTCTGTTATTTGGCTTTTGGTGGAAAGAGAGAATATTGGGTTGCTCTAGTGGAGTCTAGCTCTGGCAGTAGGATGAGTTATCCTTCTGTATTTCCTTCAATTTGCAAATAATACATGGGCCGTAGCAGGTCTGTAACAAGGATTTGCAAAGAAAGAGCTAAACTGTTTATATGGTATATACATGGGCTCGGAGACACTTAGCTATAGGGAGCAAAGCTCCATTAGTTTAGCATCAAGTGCATCACAAGTGTAAATCTAGGTTTTGTATACAGATATTTAAACACAAAGCAGGATGAGCTTGCACAGAATGAGTTCAACGACACACACCAAAACAAATTTAACTATGGGGAGCAAAGCTCCAGTAGTTAAGTGAAGCGGTCCCATGATCAGTTTTTGGGGAGAGAAAGATTACTAATACTAACCGAGCAGTAGAGCATGGAGGAAGAATGCATGAGTTAGGCGGAGAGAGAGCAAGAGAGAATATGAAGAGAAAGGTATGTATAAGGTAGGCTAAATTAAGCCAGGGCTGGGAGAGACTGGACACTATCATAGCTGTGTCCACAGAACATACCGGGATCTGAATTCCCTTGGTTCAGACCTGTTACTAGAGTAGAAATATTTTCACACTTAATTTCTTCTTTTTAGTCTTTTTGCTTGCTAGTACCTGTCATTTAGCCATGTAAGGAAATATAACTGCCCACTAAGATCTGCTAAATTTAACTTGAGATAATATAGAAGAAGGCAAACAATACAATTTTAAGTTACTCAATTTTATTTTAAGCTACAATGAAATGAAACAGAAGTCATGAACCAGAGATGTAATAGTCTGAATAGTGAAAATTGTTCCAGACTACAATGGGTATTTGTCAGATCATATAACAACAATTTCGGTTTTATTTGCATGTCTCCAGGATGATACTGATCAGATAACAATTTCATACAACATGATGGGTAACCAAATTCTGTACAGTACCAGTGTCTAAACCTCTGTTTCAGGTTATAATTTAGAGACAGGATGAAATATCATGTAAACTTTTATACATTCTCAATAGGTGTCAGAAAGTGAGTGAAAATCTTTTGGAAAAAACACTAGGCAAAGGTACACCCAAAAAAAAAAAAACAAGAGAAACAGTAATCTTACCGCTTCCATCAATTGCCTTACTTCCGACTCAGAAAGTTTACTACCCAGTTTTGGGAGACCAGCTTTCAACTCTTCGAATGTGATTGTTCCACTGTTATCTGTATCCATGGATTTGAACATTTCCTTCAAGCCAATAATTTCTTCTTCAGAAAGATTTTCAGCAATAACCTGCAATAAATTAATTTATAATTTAATAAATACATTTCATGAGTCATTTAGTCAGGATAGTGGATACTGAGTCTGTGTATGAAACCAAATCCTTCACGACGGACGGATTTACCTTATTGAAAAAGTCAATAATATACTGCTTCCACAACACTAGAATGGTTACATTGGCAATGAGGAGATAGATTCACCAGCAGCCAAAGTCGTAGTTTAACAGAAAGAAATAAAAGCATTTATCCTTTGATCTAGTCAGCTATTTATGCTTATATTATAGATTTTCAATTACCATATTCTATTTAAATCCTAAAGGATTTCAATATAGTGGAGTTTGCAGCTATTTTACAAAAATCTTGATGATGATGTTCACGGTGAGAACAAGTAAAATGTTGATAAAAGATAATTCACCTTCAGGGCGACTTTTTTTAGCTTGTTCATTGCTCGGAATTGCTTCATCCTGGATAAAACAGCAATATCAAGAGGCTTATCAGATGCATCTCCATCCACTCTCATCCAGGGATGATCTGCACCATATATAACATACTATGTCATGACAAATCTATTCAAATAAGTAAACTGCCAAGAGAGTTATAGTTCAAATGTTAAATGGCAATCACTTTAAAGCAAAATATTAATCACAGAGAAAACTCCCGCAGGCTACTCTTTTTAGTGCAAAGTTATCATATATCAAAGGGCTGTATGAGGACCACCACCTTTTCTATAGTCCCTATCAATCTTTAAGTGACATGTACTTTAGTTTTAAATTTAAAATAAATAATTAATCAATTAATTACATATCACAAAGATGGATCGGGCATGGCCAAGTAGTGGTTCAGAACCACTTAATTTCTCAAAAGGCACAGAACAAGAGCACATATACACGAGGCAAGAAGAAAATATAAATTCAGGAATTTGTAGAATAAATCATTGGGTCCTAACCTACATTTCTTTTCTTTATTACTTTTTCTTAGAAGGAAGTTGAAGTGTTTTAGATGTGACAATTATTTCTCATTCTTTTTCTTTTTATTGTACGAATCACACTGTTCCAATAGTCTCGTGTCCTTAAAAATATCACAGATCTATCAAATGACACCCATTTTGAATACCAATGTCCTATTTCTTGACAGGTATCTCGGGCTCATTGAATCACCACTAATCCATCCTAGAGATTCAGAACATCTCTATGAATGAGGGTAAACAATGACTGTCTTCCACTGTGTCAGCATGATTAAAATAAAATATAAACCACATTTGGCATAAAAATACAAATGTTATGTTCATGTGTAGAATTTAACTTACTCAGTACTTCAGCTGCTGAAAGCCGTTCTTTACGGTCAGCTCGTAGCATCTTCTTGACCAAATCTTTCGCACTACTTGATATGGAAGGCCAAGGATCCGATGCGAAATCAATATGTCCACGAAGAATAGCATCAAAGATACCCTGTTCATTTTCTTCACATAAAAGATTAAAAACAAAGTGAAAACCAATGGAAAGGTTCAAAACTGAGTATATCAAGGTACAAGAAAAGTAAAACTTCCACAGTGAAGCGCCAACATAATCCTTTTGAAGCTCAAAAAAAAGCAGAAGGCTCAAAACTGACTACATCAAGGTAAAAGAAAAACAAACTTCCCCAGTAAAGCGCCAACATAAACCTTTGAAGCTCAAAACAAAGCAGAAGGTTCAAGCAGTTAGTATAGATGTTATGAAAGGATAAAACCATTCCGCTCCTTCACCTAATAACCTAAGCTTTCTGGACAGTTAATTCATAACACCAATTAACAAGTCTAAGGATTACAACCATTAACATCATAAAAATTTCAGGCAAGTATAAGATAGATGTCATCGACTATGTGGCATTGATCTGGGTAGGGCAAAAGCATGTGATACAGCTACAGTTATGTGATATGACAATATTTTAACATTGAAAGAACAGGTTAGGTTAAGAAAATTTTAAACACATAAAGCATAAACAGAAAGAGAATAAGACACCGTAAATTGTTCCGAAAACATTTATAATAAAATAATAATAATAAACTTCTATACGACAGGCAAGGAAGAATGGATTTGATTGAATAGGGAAAAACAAAATGAAAAAAATCAAGTGAAAGGATGGGGAATCCCTAATTTTAACTAAAAATTACAATTATTTTTCAAAAAACAATTATCTAACTGGTAGATAAGGTAAACCTAGCCATGCCTCAATGCATACCGACTCTGCTAATTTTAAAAATATAATAATTCTGAAAATAGTTATGAAAACTCAATTACATGACACATGGAAATGGATGAGAGTGCACTCCAAAATTATACAATAATTTCTGGTACATATTCGGCATGGTATTGAGTCAACAAAAGAAGTTCCCAGCTTACCCACATTCAAAAATAAAACTTAGGGTGTAAATATTTATTTATTAGTTAAAAAGGAAGGAGTTCTACCTGCCCAGAAAGGTGGAACACCAGACAGCAGAATGTACAGTATAACCCCAGCACTCCAAATATCAGCCTCAGGCCCATAGCTTCTTCTCAACACCTCAGGAGCAACATAGTAAGCACTCCCAACAAGGTCTCTAAACACATCTCCTGTTTTCAATACCCAACTCTCCAAGTCAACGATTGCAACAACTCCAACACTTTGATAAATTTCTCAATAAACACTTACAACAAGAGATAAAAAGAAAGATAATGTTAGATAAACTTTTTCATGAATACGTACTGGAGAAAAATATAGGAAAATAAAATAAATTGAGTTTCTTAAAAGCCAACACATGCAAGTAAACTTTTGAAAAAGTTCAATGCGAAAGTTTATATGGAAATATCGTGATAGGTTAATTTTAACTCATGAAAAGTTCTATTATTTTGGTCTCTTTATTTTTCTTTCTATAAGTGTTAATGAAAAAGATTATCTAAATAAAGTCAATCTAAAATGAATCAACCTTAAATCTAAATTATGTCTATCTTACTCGTAACCTAATTTCTGAGTTTTCTTGCTTAGCATTTTCAAAAAACTTATTATATCTCGTTCATAAACTAATTCTAATTTAAGAAAATGCTTAATTCTAATTTGACAAAATGCTTAATTCAATAATTCTAAGGTCTTATATTCTTCTCCTCCGACTAATTATCCAAACAGAACCTAACACAAGCAGAACCACTGAGCAGTGACCAGCAGAGTAGAGTAACCAACTAACCTGGCTTGAAGAAGACGGAGAGGCCAAAATCCGTGGCCTTGAGAGGGGAATCATCGTCCTTGCTGAGCAATAAGAAATTCTCGGGCTTCAAGTCCCTGTGCATCACGCCCATGGAGTGGCAGTTGTGCACCACCGTGACGATCTGGCGGCAGGAGTTGGCAGCGGCGCGCTCGGAGTAGTGGCCTTTGGTGATGATCCGGTCGAATAGCTCGCCGCCGGCGCACAGCTCCATGATGAGGTTGACGGAGTGGCGGTCCTCGTAGGCGCCCTTGAGCTCCACGATGTTGCGATGACCGGTGAGGTGGTGCATGATCTGGACCTCGCGCCGGATATCGTCGATGTCGTCGCGGTTGACGAGCTTGCGCGTCGCGATTGACTTGCACGCGAACTGCTCCTTCGTGACCTTGTGGGTCACCAGATACGTCACGCCGAACTGCCCGCGGCCCAGCTCGCGCCCGAAGATGAAAATTGACCGCACGTCCTCCATGGGCCGGCCCAGCACGCGGCCTAGCGAGGAAGACGTTTGGGGCTTCGGCAGTTGGGGTGAAGGGTTCGTGTTCGGAGGTAGGACGGTGATGCCGTTGCGCCGGGGAAGGTCGTCGGAGTGTGTGGTTGTGGAGGGGGCGGCACCGCCGTGGCTACTGCTGCAGTTACCCATGGACTAAGGTCAATGAGGAGAACGGTGGTCGGAGGACGAGGTTTGGTTTGTCAGAAGAAGACGAAGTGTGTCGGGGTTTAAAACTAGGTTGCCGGCACAAGGACTAGAATGGACTTTGCTGCGTGGTTATTAATTTATTATACTAATTAGTACTAATTAACAGAAATCTTATGTTAATTAATATTTGAATTTAAAAAAACACACCAGTAAAGGTTAGTGGTTTTGTGATATAACCCTCGCGAGTAGTTAAGAATATTAAATATATTTAAACTAATATATTTCTTAGTAAGTGTAAAGTAACTAATTTTTTTTTATAATTGTATCAAAGATATTTATTTTCGTAGGTTGTATCTGGTTATGTAATAAATAAATAACTATAATGTCAGTTATTTTTATTTGGAGTTTTCCTTCGAGATTCTGTATACAAAAAGTTAGGTTTAGTTGATGTTTTTGAGACAAATTTATTTTTGAAAAAATGTGTTAACTTAAAAGTTTCTTTTGTATTTAGGTGAGAAAATTGTATTATAAAACTTTTTTAATGCTCAATTTAAAACGTAAAAAATATTTTTAAGTAAAGGTGAACAGAAATAAAAAACCAGTACAGCAGCAACTTTGTCAGTAACGCATCGAATTCCTTCGATCGCATCCTAATAAGTGTCACCGCATCTTTTTGGTTGTAACTTTTGAACATTTCTTTTTTTAATTTTGCATTTCTTTTTCAGAAAAATCATACAAAGTTATAGTTTAATAATCTTAATTTATAATAAATGGTTTCTTGGATTTATAATGCTTTTTACCAGTCTGGAATTAGAGTCCTATATATCTATCCCTAATGGAAAATACACCCAGTACAATTTGGTAGAGTTTTTATTTAAGTTATTGTTATTCAGTGTTGTTTTTATATATATTTTTAAATAGATGACGATAAAAATATATTAATATTAATAGACGGGCGTGAAATAAGTACTATCATACAAATACAATCTCAGTGAAGTTTTATTATTAAATAGAATACATGGCACACTGACAGCTTACATTACAGGTAGCAACCTGTATTCACAACCTGCTAAACGTTTTCATCAGACGTAATATTTACAGAGGAAGGAAGAATGTAGAAAAGAACATCACCAACTACCTAATCAAAGTACAATTTCCCCTTCACGAGATTGTCAAACGACTTGGTTATTCTCTCAGCTCAATTTCAAAGGATGACAGAATAACTCAATTCGTCAACAATCTAACGTAGAATGGAGTAATAATGTAACTTGCTGATAAAATTTGTTAACTACGGCGGAGACCATGAGAACGAAATGATAACTAACTTTAAATCCAATTCTGGGACATGGGGTAACCTTTGATTGATTCAGATGGATCGCTAACTAGACTTATCCCGCTGCTTGAGCCACGGCTAGAACTCCCAGTCAGCATTGCCATCAGACTTCCACCATGCACCCGGCCTTCAGGAACAGCAACTGACATTGGCAAGTGACCACCTTCCTTGGCTGAGACATGAGCAGCTACAGCTTCGTACTGTTTGAAGTCAGAGCAGGTTGCAGCATGACCTAGGCTACTCCCTATTTTCATCAAATCTATATCCATGTTTTTGTCAACGATTACCTGCTTTAGTTCATCTGTTTTATTCGAACGGGGATTCTGAACAACAGATCCCAGGGAAATTCCTCCGTGAACCCTCTTATCATGCACTAGTCCACTATGAAGTGCACACATACCTGTTTTCCCCCTTGCAAATGAATTGCACGGACCATCCTGTTGAATGCCATATTCTGAACCAGGATGGCCCCAAGAGCACCTCTTGCCTCCCCCATGTGCTTTGCAATAGTCAGTGCTTCCTTGTGCACTCTTTCCACACCCTTCAAACTTGCATCTCTTGCCTCCACCATGGCGGACACAATGATCAGTCCTTCCTCTAGCACTTTTTGTGCATCCTGGTACAGCACACCTCTTTCCACCCCCATGAGCCACACAGAAGTTGGTACCTCCATGCACACTTTTAGTACACAATCCACCACCCTGATACGTACAACGTTTCCCCCCTCCATGGCCCTTGCAATACGGGGTACTCCCCTCAGCGCCTTTGGTGCACCCTGGTGCTGTACATCGTTTTCCCCCACCATGTGCTTTGCAAAACATTGTGCTCCCCTGTGCCCCTTTCGTACATCCAGGAGCTTGACATCGACGCCCTCCGCCATGTGAGATGCAAAGACCTGATAGACCTTCTGCGCTCTTGGTGCAATTTTCTCTCTGGCACCGCTTGCCACCACCATGTCGGATGCATAATCCAGATTTCCCTCTGGCAGCCCGGGTACAGCCTTCGTGACTGCATCTCCGGCCACCACCATGGGCTATACAGAAATCTGTACGTCCTTCTGCACTCTTTGTGCAACCAAGGAATTCACATCGCCTGCCACCTCCATGTGCCTTGCAGTAAACTGTGCGACCCTCCGCTCCTTTGTGGCAGCCAGGTTTCTGACACCTCCTACCCCCACCGTGAGATATACATCTCCCAGAAGCACCTCTGGCACCCTTTCCACATCCTTCCACTTGACATGTTTTAGGATTATTGGGGCGTAGCGGCTGTTGCTGCTGCGTAAGCCCGGACGTGCAGGTGACAGAACTTTTAGGTCTGGTTGACGAGAGATCCAGAACAATGGGATTATGATCAAACTGCTTTGAAGCCTGATTTAAAAGAAAACTAGTGCCTGTATTTGATGACGTCTTTGAAGATGGCAAAACAATCCCTGACTTCCAACTACATGAAGTTGATCCCTCATCTGTATTTTGTGTCCCACTGAATCCTAATGGCATCTCCATATTCAATTGAAGAGGTGAAGGATTTAGATGCACGCTTGTAATATCTGACTCACAGAGCCCAGTAGAAAGGCTTAATTCCAAATCAAATTTTGGTTGCAGCTCCAATGTCTTCAAACTCGAATTAACAGGTTTCTTCGGGCTTTGTACCTTCTCACAGCCAAGATGGAGAGAAAAGTCCAGTTCAATATCCATAGATGATTCTTCTTCAATATCTTTGGCTGAAGACATAGCAGTGCAAGCAGCAGCTGAACTCCCCTTGCTGTCAGAAGAACTTGTTGAACGCCCGAGCCCAAGCGACAAAGATGAGTCAAGTCTTTGACCCATATATCCATCAATTAAATCCCACTTCCTTTTTATTCCCTTGGAAGAGGGTAAACGGGTTGGAATTGAAGAACCAGGGGAATCAAGTCGTAAGATGGTATCTGTACCATGATGATCAGCTCCCCTTCCTTCAGCTTGCATAGAATTGCCCAAAATCTTGAATGCATTTGCAGAATGATTAGCAGCAAATCCCAACAAGTGCTTGAACCTCACGTCCATGAAAGTACTGAAAGAAACAATATCTAATCCTACTTATGAATTTAACAGTACAGCCTTCCTGACTTCAGGGTAAAAAAGAGAGTGACGGTTATCTACAATGTTAGGGGTTAGATGTGTATACAGGCGTATAATGCACCCCCGCTGACAAATCCTGAAGTATCACGTCGATCCATCTAAAAGATATAAAAAGACTAAGCTGAGGTTCAGTTTGTCAGTTGCAAGTACAACTTAACCTAACAACGTCTGACTCCTTCCAAAACACACCGTGGAAGCAATCATACTATTTGCAACGAACCACATGATCAGAACAGGAACATCTGCCAGAATAAACATGGTTGCAGTCAAGTTTGGCACGCTTACTAAAATAAAAGTAGGCAATAGATGGGGCATCAGAAAGCCAAATGCACACAAAAATTAACTTCTGTTTGGCAAACACCAGATATCCATTGGCCCAAAATAAGAAAAAGACTATAATTTAATATTGAAAAAAATAAAATAAAACTTGTACAAAAAAGTTTTTTAGAATTGTTATCCACTCAAATTGAAACGTAAGATAAACCATAAAGGTAGCGGATAAATCTACTCATAAAAGAATAACACTTAAATAAATGAACTGGGTACACAGATCTCAGTTTAGAAAGGGCATCACAGGCCAGCAGAACAAAAACTGTAGTTATTTATGTACAAAGCAAAAAATTATAAAAGTGCATACCCGCCCTTCCAAAAAATGTTACAAATCAACCCCCATCCCCAAAGAGAGAAATTTTTATTTAAAAACTGGGCTGCAACGAAGAAATAGCTGACTACCTGAGTCACTGTCTAGAATACTTCAAGTGAAAGTAGTTGAAGTAATTAGTAGTTTTCTATCCAAAATATTTACACCACGCAGCATTTCATAGAACAAGCACATTGTTTTCTCTGTAAGTTTGTTTGTCACAAAACTGTTTCCTCTGTTAGTCTGCTTAACAAAAGATCACCAAAAGTGCGTGTCAGACCCTGAGGACCATCACTTTATACTATTTGACCTATTCTGGTAGAAAGGATCCCCCACTTTATACTGTCTTTTGAACAAACTGGACTAACCCAGTTTGGTGACCGGCAGGTTTTTAAAACACAATGCAGCTTTTATCATTCTAAATGAAAATTTATAAAATAGCTGACTTAGATGTCTGTGAAGCTTTAACGAATGCATCAAAAACTTTTAGCGTATACGAAAATGAGAGAGAGAGAGAGAGAGAGAGAGAGAGAGCACTTGAACGAGCCTCGCCTATTACTGATGCGACGTATTTCCACAAAACAGAAGTAGCAGCAGCTACGAGAATACAGCAGCCTGACACCAAATACCCGAGTGCTTCAGTTGAAAATGTTCTGCAAATATACAGCACAGAGCAGCTAGAATGCAATAGCACAAAAAAGCGAAAGCGAAGACTAAGAGCAAGCAACTGCAGATATGAAAACATGAAATAACAGATATTGGATTGTTTAAGCTTACAGGATAACGAAAGTCTTTGAATGTAATAATTTCTCAACAAAATAACACATCATTAAAAGAAACGAACAAACGAGCCTGGACAACGAACAAGACTACAACTCAGTTGCACAGTAACATACATAAATACAAGCATCAGTGCGAAAACTGTTTCTTCTTTCTTTTTCTACTTCTACGAGCCACTAAATTGTTTCAAAAACTAAAATCAATTAAAACCAACCAAAAAGATAAGACGGGAGCTAAGTAAAATCTTTCTTTACATACAGGGTAGACTCCAAGATAAAAAATAAAACAAAATAATTCATTTCAAATAAATCATAGAAAGAACCGTCCAAAACAAACGTGAAACAGACAGACAGAGGAAAAATCCGAGACTTAGCTCAAAGTACCTGGAGTCACAAACTTCAATAAATAAACAAGGATAGAAACGCACAATTTAAATTAGCAAATATTAATACTAAGTACCCAAATATACTGAATTTGATCACATATGTTAAATCGAAGTTAATTAAGGAAGAAACAGACTGAAGTAGAAAATATTATAAATTGGTCCTAAGGTTATCTGTATGTCTTTATGTAAGTTATGCAGCCAGGGAGGAAAGAAGGAGAAAAGGCAAATATTCCCATTCAATTTTCATCGTTCCAAATTGGCTGAACTGTGCTAAAGGCGGAATCTTCAATCAAATTCAAAATCACGTTTCCACAGAGTCGAGAAGAAGAAGAATATAATAAAAGCATCAATTCAGTGGCCGTCCTTCGAATACAATTCCAGATTTCCATCAAAGAAAAATGAAGTGCAAAACGAAAGGTCAGGGAAATGATGATTCCGTAGCTTGGGTGTGAAGAGGTTCAACGAAAAATAGATTGCAGATAAGAATAGAACATGAATTGAGATTGAATATCGGAGATCTAGTAAGGGTGAGTTACCTAGCGCGTCAATTGGATTGGATTGGAATTGACTAGATTTGGGGACAGAGAAGCGAGCGGCGTAGGGTTTTGAAATCCGACGATGGAGAGTGAACAGAGAGAGCCAACAGGATACGGCGAAGAAGAAGAGAGTGAGAGATAAATGAGGAAGAAGAGGCGCGTGTTCAGAGTGAGCGTACGCTGCACCCAATTTTAATACTCCACGAATTCTAGGGTTACGTTTCTCTTCTTTCTTTGTTTTCTTCTCTTTTAAATTATTTTTTCTCTGCCTTATTATCCCACATTTCTTTTGTTTCTTCGAGAATTTGTGAACAGTTACGTGATTTACACCACATGTGAAATTTTTCACAGTTTCTAAAGACTTTAAACCATAGGAAATAAGAGAAACAGGTATATTAATAATAAAAGAGAGGGGAAAATGGTTTATTTTTCAGAAAAAAAAATGTTCATAATGTTTTTTTAAATAATAATGGAAAAATTATGTATAAAATAAAAACAATTAATGCACCCTTACATTATAAATAAATGTTTATTTTAATTAAATTCCAATTTCAAAATAGGTGAGATAGAGCGTCACCCTTCTTACATTTCTTTATCTTCAAATAGAAATTTACGACAATAAAAAAAAAAAAAGAGTTGTTTTTACTCTTTCCAAACGATCTCCATATAATATTATAGATAACAAAAAATTATGCTTTTTTTTTGTTCTCGTTTACTTTGAATAAAACTCTGCCTTCTTTCCGTTCATTTATTGTAAATATTAATTGCGGATATTCTTTTTCTTCTATTTATGTTTTATTTTATTATACTGACACATAATAATGGCCTCCGCTTTAAAGAAAATAGCATTTAATTTTATTTACGCGAGAACAAGCTTCTCCGGAATAATTTTTAAGAGATAAAATATATAGAAAATGTTTTTTAACATCTAACTTTTTAAAAAACAACTGTTTTGTTAGATTAAAAAAATCAATTATAGACTATTTCACTACTTAATTGATTTTATTGTCTCAGATATAAGATAATTTATTGTTTTGATTATGTTGTGAAATGATCTATTCATTAGAAAAAAAAAAAATTGTGTTCCATCTTTATGTCAGTAGAAAAATATTGTATTCAATTGTTATAGTGTAAGAAACTGATGGGATCTCTAACGTAATACGCAGGAAGAAATCTTAATAAAAATAATAGAATATTTTTAAAAATTATTTTATTTTATCATTTTTAGTTAGTGTGAATTTTATTTTATTCCAATTTTATTTTAAAAAAATATATTTTTATGGATTAAAAAAAAGATATATATAAATTATATTTTATATTATTATGATCGTTAATGTTTTATTATAATAGAGTAATGTTTTATATTAGAAATATTGTTTGTTTTAAAATTTAAAAATTATTATTATTTTAAAAAATATATTAATAAATAAAAATATATAAAAATTATTATTAACCTCAACATTTAAATAATAAGGAAAACTCATCCGTATAAAACGGATGATTAGAAATTGTTGTTTTGAAAATTTTTTAATAACATTTTTGTTAATTTCTGGTTATTAATTTTTTTCTTATGATTTAAAAAATTAAGAGAAAATATAAGTGACTTTATTAATTAATGAGATAAAAAAAAAGTGTCAGGGTTCACAATTTACCTTTAAGAAAAAAAAAGTCCATTTGAAATTATATATATATATATATATATATATATATATATATATATAATTTTTATAGTCTTTTATGACATTTTTTAACTAAATTGAAAAATGTTGTTTTATTTTATGTTTTCTTTTTCAAATTTAAATGTCATATATAATTTTTAAAACTATTATTAAGTTAATGACTAGTTTTTGCTAATGTATTACATTTATAGATTTACATCGAATGAATTTTTTTAATTATAAGATGTGAATATCTGACTTTTTTTATTTTTTAAGGAAGATGAGAAACATACATAAAAAATTAAATTACAAGAAGTTAGAATATTAATTTAAAATAAAAATATATGTAAGTTTTAGTATGAAATAACTTTTGTCAACAGTAATGATAAAATACTGTTGAGAGACCAAAATATGAATTCAAATTGAATTATAAAATAAAATAAATATTTAAAGAGTAAAAATAAACAAAAATTATAAAAAAACGTGATCAGTTATTTAGGGATTTACATGTATTTGATAAAATTTAATTGAGATTTTATAAAAATTAAATAAAGTACTATCAACTACTGGATGCGAATATATATATATATATATATATATATATATATATATATATGAAAAATAATATAATTTTTTTAATTTTCTAATAAGAGAAACTCTTATGTTTTTTTAAATCTCATTATATAAGTGATAAATCTGATTTTTTTATTAAGGAGCTCGTAAATTTGTGAATTATTTTTAAGACACGCAATGATGATTTCATATGTAGAAAAAAAATGTAAAGGACTTTTGAGAGGAAGAGAGGTTCTGAGAAATTCTTAGGAATAGATGATTTGTTGTTTTGTATTAATGTGATTCATTGTTTAAAGTTCTTAATTATAGAGTTTATAAGATTTTACATTTTTTTATGTTTCTAACATTTTTATCATCATCCATATATAGAAAAAATATATGAAAACAAAGTAAAGAAAATCTAAAAAATAATCAAAACTCTTACTTTGAAGAAGATATTAAATAAAGTAATTAAGAATAAAAAAATTGTAAAAATAAAAAACATTTTTGTATCTTTCTAAAATTTTTATCATCATCCATATAGAAAAAATATATATGAAAACAAAGTAAAGGAAATCTAAAATATAATCAAAACTCTTACTTTGAAGAAGATATTAAATAAAGTAATTAAGAATAAAAAAATTGTAAAAATAAAAAACATACTATAATTTATTTTTCATGAAAATTTTTGACAAGAAATAAAACATCTCTTAAAATATAAGAAATATGATAAAATTTCACGTAAATTAAAAGTATTATAATATTATAATATATCGATTAATATAATTATTATTTTATAAAATTACTTTTATATAATTAAGTTATGTAGTTACGAGTTTTTTAATATTTCTTCTTTCTCGTTATTTAGATTCTCTTCATTTATAAGAAATGATTCTACATCTAAAAATTTCAATTTATTCAGTTCAATTAAAAAAATATTTCTAAAAATATATCAATATTATTTGTTATTATATTATTATTTATAATTGTTAATAGGGTAAATGTGTCGTGAATACATGACCCCATCTAAATTTTAATCTTTTCTCATTCAACTATACACCAACTTGAATGTCTTTTTCTTTCTTTCCCTTACAAACATACAATGACATGAATCTTCGTAAATATTATGCTCAACAAGTAAAAAAACATTCAAGAATACACTTTCATCTTCGTGTAGATCAATGCACACTTAAAACATGAGTATAAAAATGTAAACTCTTGAGATAAAGATAATTCACATGCTTAAGAGCATTTTCTTAGCATGAAAAGTGATAAATCCATGAAATGACTGTGGGATAACAATAGAAAGAGCTTTGGTCTTGATCTTTTAGAAAAAAAATTAGGTTTTTTTTTCCACCATTCCTTAGTGAAAAGGAATTCTTCATTATATAACAATGTTGTCCCAAAAACAAATTCTTCTATTATTGAGCCCAACAAACACTCCCTATGGTGGATAATCTTTGTTTGTTTTATGCGTGGTGTCAAAAGAGATGACATCACAAATGTATCCAAAGTCATTTACTATGCATCCTCCCCAAGCAACAAAAACGGGAAAATATGTGATATTCTTGCAACGTGAGAATGAATATGTTTTTTATGAATGAAGAACGAAACACAGAGCACCTATAATCACAAATGGAAACGTCTTGGGGTGGTGAGATAAGAAAAAGAAAAATGAATACGTCGCATTCAAAAGTTGTCTCTCCTTTTATGCAAAGTAAACAAAAAGTGTAAGACAGCTATTTTAAATTTCCATTTAAATCCACAGTTCGATACTGTCAATAATGGAGTTATGATGCATTGGATCAATTTTGAACCATCAATTATTTGTTTATGTAATGGATTCAATTCATTTATTCTTATGCGCGAGTGGACGTTGACGTTTTTATTTTCAAAAATTAGTAATTAGATTTTAAACATTTTTTATTTGTTATTAAAGTAATTAAATTAGTAATAATACCTCTTGTTTCAAGGACTTTATTCGTTTCTTTTCAATTGTTTATTTATTATTTATTTTTGATAGATGAATAAATAGCATGTTAAAAGAATATATGAATGAATATCTGATTGGAACAATTTGAAAGCACTTAGTTTCTATTTCATAGCTTGAATCGTAACATGAGTTAGAATTTACAGAGATAAAATTTACTTGCAGAGCTTCTATTTATGGAAGTATGTGTTTGACTATATCATCACCCTTAACCGTATCCGCGTGTGACACGTGTGCATGAGCGTAGAAGGAAAAGAGGCCACGTCTCTCCCAAGAGGACATTCATCGCCTCTTCTTCAAATTTCCCTGTGGCCACGTGCTTACATACTCACACACCACAAATGACTCTCCAACAAAAATCGATATTATTAGAAATCTAATAATTAATGATATTAAGATATTATAATTATAAAATAAATTAATAAAATATTTTTTATGTAAAATAATATTAATCCGATATATTGACGATTTTTTCATTATTAAACGTAAGAATTCACCAGTTTCGATAACACTCCCCAAGACAAAAACCCTATTTTCAAATTTTTATTTTTATTTTCAAATAAATAGAGAGAAATGAGGGTTAAAAAGAAAAGAATATAGACGTGATAATGTCTAGATGCAGTGTTACATGGTATGATGTGTGCGAAGAGAGTGTGAAAGAAGGAAGGAAGGGTTAAGCGCGGCGCGGCGTGGCGAAACGCGATTGTGGAGAAGGGAACAGTAGCTGACACCATAAGTCAACTTGACGTTAAGTTTTCGAGTTTTTTAGGTCAAACGGTAGCGGCTCGTCTCGTCACTGCTCGCCCCCTTCGACCCCACACCAAATCTAAATTAATTATGCAACTTGTCTTTTCTTAATCACTTTACTTAATACCACTACATGTTTTTTAAAAAATGCATTTTGTTCTATATTTTTATTTATTTCAATTAATTTTATGATTTTTTTTATCTGAAGGTAGTAGCCACGAGAAAGCACAAGAAGACAACGCAAAATGGATCTGAAATGCCCTTTCGAATTTAAAATAGGATCACTTTCAAGTGCGCCTCTTCGTCATTCACAAAAATTAATAATTAATAATAATAATAATAATAATAATAATAATAATAATAATAATAATATGAAGAAAATGTTTTCCAATATTTAAATATTTTGTGCGTGTGAAAAAACAACACTATTCATATTAATAATTAATAGTATATATTAACGTCATTTAGTTTTTGACTTGTGTAAGGTACACCACACTTTTTTGAGAAAACTACAAAGAGTGAAGGACCACGCTCTGGAGTAGAAGGTGTAAATGACGCGGCATGAATTTGCACAGTAAAAATATCTGGCGGTGGTGTGGTTGTGGATAGCTTCGCGTAGCTTTGTGTGACTCAGTGCGTTCTTTTTATTCTCTTGTCCTCTGCTGCGTGCATTTACAACAGAATTATACTTTTTTTTTTTTTTTTTACTTTTATACAATGATTTCTATGCATACGCAATATTACGATATTACGAATTTCAGAGAGTTTTTTTGAAGGGTTGAAAAAAAAGGGTAAATAGAAGTATAATATTTTAATTTGGTGTAATTTTTTAAGACTACTTTACCCTTTGGTTTATAAAAAATTCCTAGATGTTCCGTAAAAAAACAACCAGAAAACAAAAAGTTCAGAGGAATCTATTCCCTTATCTTCTACATCTCCCAGCCGTTGGATCTATACACGCAATCCCTTGGCAGTGAAGTTGAACCGTTGGATGGGATCTTACGCTGTAACATGGTCCCACCTCGCACTCATCGTATCCACCGCCCACCCTTTTTGGCCAAAACCGGCGAAAGGTTATTCTGGTTTGCAAGAGAAAAGTTTTGCACCGTTGGATCTGTACAGTGAGGTTATATTTTAACAATCAACGGTGGGTGATTCTAGATGTAAGATTAAGAAGGGAAAGTCAATTTGGTCTCACTCATATGCCAGTTTGTTCTAAAAAATATTTATAATTATTGTTTTTTTCGAATTTCGATGGAAAAGATGGGTTGGGGATTGCTTTTTTTCCCAGGTTTTGAAGAATATACCTTTTGAAATTCGGATCCTAGAATGCACGTGCCATGTTCCAGGATGAGTCATCGATGGCCTCTCTCTCTCTTTCTCTGTCACACACACACACACCAAGTCACCACTCACCAACACAACACAGCATTTTCCAAAGATGATAATATAAATATAATGTGTTGTTCTTGTTTTCCGACAAAAATTACGAATTAGGGAAAGAAAGTAGAAGAAAAAACCAAGAAAAAAGGTAGCATGTGGATCTCGACTATGGACTTGGAGCATGTGTGCTTCTTTGTCCCACCAGATCTTCCCTCTAAATCTTATTCTCACTACTTCCACTTGCACAGCATCAACTTTTTCAAAAGTAAAAATTAATTTGTACAATTAGCTATCTTTATACCTTGGCCTAGAACCCCTCACATTACATGAAAAATAGTGAGAATCATCAATATTAGTTCTTTTGCTGTTTCAAGAGAAGGAAGTTGAAGTTCATGGCTGATGAATGAAATAATGAGTGAGGAATATTGTTTTGTTTATTATTTGATTGGCCTGAGTTAAATATTTGTGGAAGCACTGGAGAGAAAATGGGATTTGAATGTGTGAAATGAAAGGAAGGTGGGAAAAGAATACAAGTGGAAGTAAAGGTTTGGAGGAATGGAGAGGGTAGACTGAGAGTGACGTTTGTCCATCCCCAATTCTCCACAAACCACAATCGTCCCTTTCACCACTTTATGATTCTTCTTCCAATTCAAAGACCTTGGCAATGGTTAAGGTAATGCCACGTCTCGCATTACCAATTTTCCTTACTTTTAACCCCTTCACACCCCTCACATGGTTTCATTTTTTTCAACAAAAAATCTTCCATGCAATGGAAGCATATTCTGAAGCTTCATTGTAACGATTTTCCTGAAATACCAGATGTGAATTGGTACACGTAGGAGAAATTGTACCACAGAAGAGAGAGGGAAATTTTATTTTTTTACTGATTTGAAGATGTAAATGACTAGAAGAGTGAATAAAAAAACCTGAAGAAGAGAAAGGAATAAAAGAGCGTATGTAGTTTGTGATGGGTGCGTGCATAAGGTATATTCGGGGACATGTACACAAATGTAGTTTCCTCATGCTTCACCCATAGTGCACTATCTATGGAATATAAACTGTGGTGAGAAGAGCATCGACATGTAACATATTCTTATGCTTGTAATAATGTTACCGTCCCAACAATGGACTCTTCAGTCCTCTCTTCTATTGTCTGGTTGGAAGAACAGAACATGTTCTTTCCCAATAATGGTTCCTTTAGAGGTACCTCCACCATGTCGCTGCTGTTTATAGCAATCATTCAGATTTTATACTAGGTTTCTTTTCTTCGGCTCTAAATTATACGAAGAGAAAAAGTTTCCTGTAAGAATCACATCTCCTTGCAAAAAATCTTCCCCAATTTCTTAATGGGCCTTATGTGGGCAAATCTTCAATAGTTGGCCCATGAAAGCATGCCCGAGAGTTTGTTGATCACCAATCATTCATTTTGTAACCAGCTTTATGAAATGTATTTGTGAATGATACTCCATTTTAATACCTGAGTTTTTCTATTCACTTTATAATTTACTGTTTTTGGATGAAAAGCCTTTTCGAAAATGGAAAGGAGCATACTTATTTTTCTCTGGTATTGAAGAATGAAGTATAGTTTTATTTTATTTTACTTTTCAAAGAAAGGAGCATAGTATGCGTAGTTAAGTTTGTATGGCCCGGCCTAATAGAAGTGGTCTGGTTGAAATTGCTATTTAGACTCACTACTAGCGGTTGTACCCCACCCTGTAAAAGGATTATTAAGTATAGAAATAATAATAATAATAATAATAATAATAATAATAATAATAATAATAATAATAATAATAATAATAACAATAATAATAATAAAGTTGTTTTTCCTTATTTGATTGAAAAAAAAAGTAAAAACAGAAAAAGAGCGCTTTGTATTGGATTAAATGGAAATAAAATTAATTAGATGGTATAGTAAAAAAAAATAAAAAATGAAGTAATCAAATCGGATAGTTTTTTCAAAACTAATTTAATCATATCTACAAATACTTTTACTTAATGTACTAATCAATAAATCTTCTTTATACCATTAATTGGGCAAATAATAAATAAAAATCTTTCATCATTTGAATAAACAAATTTGAAGAGTAAGTATTATTGACTAAGATACGTAATAATAGAGCTTATAAATGTGAACGAGAACCTAACCTCAAATAATAAGTTAAGGAAGTTTAAGTTGATTGATTGTTCATAGTATTGCTAGTTATTATAAACTCTTTTATTTGTTTAATTCCTGCAGATAAAAAAAAAAGTGAACTTCAATCTATTATGTCAGTAAATATAAAAGAAAAAAGTTAATTTACTGAACCTCTTGGTGGTTGAGTTTGGAAAAGCCTGTGTGAGAATGTTAGGGATTTAAAGTTTTGGATTTTTATTCACGACTGTTTTTCAAGAAAAGTAAAATATATTTTTTCATGAAATTAGTTCTCATTTGCAAATATTAAATCAGCATAGGATTGTTAGCTAATTTGACTAACTTAATTGAAATGTGGAAACCAAAGGGAGATCATAGGATAATCCTAGACCCAATCATCCAATGATTCCGCCAAGTAATTACGATGTACTATCGTCATTCAATTAATTGATTAAAAACGTGGTACGAGTGATCAATTCCCAACAAGAAAATAGGAATTCCAAAAAAATTAGAAATAAGGCGTTTTGCATTAAAAGGCTACACAATAACCCTGGATAAGGAACTAGTTACCCATGAGAAAAGAACAATACGTAGAGAAAATAGGTAAATGAAATATATTTTTGCAAAAAATCTAGAGGACATATAATATAATTAGCTAGTCGAAGTAAAAGCAGCAAAGCAAAACTAAAAGAGATGAGCTCAGTAGCCAAAAATAAATAAATCAAAGAACCAAAATTCAAACTCGTCATATTGGACGATGATGCTGGGGCAAGTGACACGTTTTCAGTTCATGTATGGTTCCGTTCTAAATACAATTAAATCCTTGTTTTTCTATGAAGACTGAAAAAACAACCAGAAGAGATTTTTGTACAAGTACAAAGGCCGAAGCAGTAGGTGGTACATGCAAAGTTGTATTGAACAAAACTAGAGTGAAACTGACAAGAAAGACATGACTCAATATAGCACCCTGCACGAAACTCATTTATCAACCAATTCAGTACTTTACATACCTCGCCAGGCCCATCACAAAATCAAAAGATGTTGGCAATTTGATACCGCTCTTTCTTCAAAGATGCCAAGAGGAGACTGTCGAGTGAAATCCATCAAAGAGGAATCTGCCAAAGTAGTATTTTCTTGCTTGGATAAATTACATCCCCGGTCAAAACATTCCCACCGACTCATGCTACACATGATAATTCATTCCTACCTTAATTAGAGAAATCTGAGGAATGTTTAGACCAACTGCAGGGGACCGGCAATTTTTCCGCAGAAAAGAATAGAGGTTGATAGCAAACTTCTTTATAAATGATGAGTTCCACTTGGCCTTTACGTGAGAATGACCTATTACATACGCCGCTCCAGTGCGCTGGGCTTCTACAAGTTCCATGAGTTCTTCCTTGACACGTGGGTCTTTGTATATTACATTTTGCAACTCGAATAGAATCCGTCGTCTAGTGTTGAGTTCAGGCGATTCCTGCTCATACATGGCCTGCAGCCTCTTTAATGTAGGAGATTTACTGCTAGTAACAGTCAAAGCTCCAGAAAGATTAATATTGTTGCCTTGCTCAAAACCAGAAGATTCTGACACGAGCAATCGTGTCCCAAACTTCCCTGATGTCCTAACAACTGCCATCCGTCCATCCACTGAACCCTCTGCATTTCCAGAGCAACCTTCTGCTTCCAATTGAATGAATTCTGCTATGCTCATCACAAGGTCATTTTCAAAATCATTTTCATGAGTATACACATCTTTATAGCCATTTCGAACAATGCATCGATACAATCGGTAAGTTTTGGGACCAATTCGGCCAATGAGGTAACGTTCTTCATGTGGCACACAAGGCACAGGTACAGTCTTAACACAAACAAAAACGACCACTTGGTAAAAAGCTGGCAGATTTGTCAAGAAATGAGTAAAACTGGCAGGGACTCCAGTAGCCAATTCAGTGTAGATAAGGCCCATTCCAGGAACTCTAACAATCCCAAGACTAGGACCTAATTCAAGGATCGACCTCATTGAAACTTTGTTATGCATGTCAAATAAATACTTTTTCCTAGAACCATAATGCCATACATACATAACAACCATGAAGACTCCCGAAAGCAAGAGCGGAATCCAGCCACCTTTTAGGATTTTCGTGCAATAGGATGACAGGAACAGAATCTCTATCGAACCAAAGAATAAAGCAAATGCCAGAGCAATTATAGGACTTCGATGCCATACAAGGTTGATGACTAGTGATGTCAAACATGTCGTTACAAACACCACAATCAGATATGCAATCCCTGCAAACACAATGATGTTATTAAGAATCACGAGTTGAAAAACAGCAGTGAATGATAACATGACCCAGGACATGAATGTATTTTTTACTCACGATAGTTAAACCATCTATAACACAATCAATAATGTAACTGTTATCATAAAATCCCATTCTGTTGCCAGATAATCATCAAAGCTTAACCTCTGGTGATCATGGCCAACTCTTTTAATAATATCATATTACATGATTGAATGACAAATTACAGAGTTCTTACGTTGACAGCGGATCAAAATTATGCTAATTTTCACTTTCAGTACAGGTTTTACCATTTTTGAAATAGATGCATTGATGAGAACATAAAACTCTTTGCGGTGTCAATGAATCATCATTCAATCATATTTCAATGTCAAACAATATGGAAAGAAATAGCCTATTGGATAAAAGAAATATAAAGGAACCTGCAAACTTTAGATGATATAAATAACAATATTTTTACACAACTTATGATGTGAATTGGTTGGGGCAGTTATGGGTTAGAATGTTGAACAGTAAGAATACGCATTAAATGTGTGTACGAGGGGAACCGTTTGTTCTGTTGTCTAATATTGTGATCTAATCTAACAATGCAATTCTCCAACCTAACAACTTACCATAAGCATATCCTATACGGTTCTTGTCTCCTAAACCCACTGTCACAGCCAAGCTGATCATCATAAGAATCCAGTTTATCTCCGGTATATATGTCTGACCAGGAATCCACCTTCTGGAATGTACCGCCTTAACCCGAGGGAAACATTCAAACGCATGGCATTGTTGGACTACAGAGAATGTTGAAGCAATGACAGCCTGACTTGCAACAATTACTGCCAAAGCAGACACCACAAAGACTGGCCAAAATAGAACATCTACAAAAATGAAAGAAAAAAAAAACCCATTCTGAAATACATAATGGAGAGTTGAAAACAAGTATTGCAGTCTCATAAAAATCAGATGGCAGGACATTATTACCAACCCAACTATTTTGCTTCATTTATCATTAATGTAAGCTTCTTGCATATATGATCCCAAATGCAAAAAGTAAACGGTGATGTTATTCCTCTGAAGGCCACAAGTTACAAAAATCCGATACATGAAAAGTTCCCTTTTAAGGGGAAAAAATGTTAACAGAGTACAAAACCACAAGTAAGAAACAATAACAACTAACCAATTGGCCAGGGTTTAGATAAAAAATTATCAACTAGAGTTAGGCCAACCCATTGACAACGAGTTTTATACATTGACAGATAGGGGCAGGTACCAGACCTACCAATTTGTTCACCAATGACTGGCATGCATTAGAAATAGTAAAAGAAATTCAACTTCTTTTGTTCAAAATATAGGAAATTTCCCTAGTTTTTGTTCAATTTCACGAAGAACTACCATTCTAAATAATAAAAGTGATCTGTTGCAATTTACTGACACTTTTTCCTAAGATCGATTACATTCTAGATAGACGTTGTGTTTCAGTTAGAAAAAGATGGTGTCACAAATAGTCTAATCTAGAGATCACTACAGCAGTATAAAACCTGAAGAAAGACATGAAAGATATCACTTCTTCGAATCAGAAAACCGTAATAAAATTATAGAAATAGAACACGCAAGTGCAACCAACTTAAGTTTCTAGAACATAAGACAAACTTAGGCTTCATTAACAAGCTATGAAGAAAAAAATGCACAGTACGACATCCACCCATATAGGATTCACGGAGGTTAAAGTTATCTCTCAAAACTATTCCATATAAATTGGCCATGCATTGCCAAAACTAGTATCTAATACTTGCTGAGTTGTCAGTGCTGACACCAGTTCATAATGGACAACTAATGATATTGAGAATAAAAACATAATACTCAAAATTTCACATATTACTAGAATAGAAATTAGAACATATTTGATAATTCAAAGACCCCCAGTCTATCATCACTTCAATGAACTTCCAGATAGAAAGTTGAGAGACATTTGAAACAATCTAAGAGGCCAAGTCACACTTAAAAGGTTCATATTATTTACTTTATATTTTTTAATCATCTGAAAGCAAATAAATTCAATCCATGTTCTATAATTCTACAAGAAGGCCTGTCAGACATTTTTTTTATTCTAAGTATTTACATTAACTGACCTGGAATAGAAGCATAAAAGCTTATAGGCACTGCAGATAAATTCTTGGAAAGAAAGGCAGCCTGCCCCATGTATTGAAGAACTAGACATGGGTAAATTACACAACAAAATGCAACCTGCATTGTAACAAGAATATAATAACAGTTATAGCAATCATTTTCAAAACAAAATCTATCTAAAAGCTGTCATGTTGTTTAAAAATGAGGAACCACAATTAGGGCCTTAATTTATTATGTCAAGGGACCAAGGATGAACGTAAGCTTATGTACAATACACTACCCAATAGTAAATCAAATCAAATTTTGATTTCACAGATTCAACATTAAGCCAAACTTTCTAGATGTCATTGATTTACAGTTCAACAAACCTTGTACTCCTTCACTTATTATACATGTCCGTCATCATTAAGGGTGTCAAAATACACTTAGTCTGATAAGCTGACCCGAAAAATCTAAGAATTAGATTAAATTAGGCCAAAAAATTTGTAGCCTAAATTGAATAAGGTGTATTTTAGTCTAGCCCATGTAGGCCATGGCCTACATAGGCTTTAGTAGGCTTATAAAACGACTCATTTTCTATAATAATTATTTTTTAAATAAAAAAAGAGTAATATTATTTTATAAAAAATATATATGTATTATAAATTAATTTGATAAAAAATATCACTTATTCTAAGAATAAATATCAGAATAACTTTTTAATAATCACTTATTCCAAGATCTAAGATTAATTACTATGTTAGATTAATAAATGACTGAAAAGTGAATTATGATAATGAATAGTAAGTTTTTAACTATTATTTTGAAATTGAATGAATTTATTCTCTTATAATGTATATATTAAATCATTATATCTTAAATAAAAATTTGTTTTTTTTAAATATTTTTTAATTATTTGTTTTGGTGTATAGATATGATCCGTTTTAAAATATATATCGACTAGGCTATCAATTTATTTCACTTGGCTTATAGGACCAGGTTAGGCTGAGCCGGACCGCCAATTTTGATAGCTCTAGTCATCATAAACAAAGGTTTGTCTTTTATAACTAACATATATGTGTAATACAAATTAGTATGTATTATTCCTCTGAGAAAAATAGATTAACTGAAATATGATTTTTATTATATCAATACAAAGAGATAATATAAGATATATACAAGAGACCTAAACTATTTTAGGAAATATAATAACTCTATTTTATGCTAGGATCCCTTGATTTATGGGATTGTTCCTAATTATTCAAATGCATGACAGATTACAAGGAAATATACAAATTTCCTTATTTATTCTTTCCTAAAATACTATTTGATTTCTCACACTCCCCCTCAAGCTTGGTGAATAAATGTTTTCCATTCCCAGCTTGGATATAATCTTCTCAAAATTATGGCAGCCAAGTCCCTTGGTAAGAATGTCCGCAATTTGGTCTTGAGAGGACACATATGGAGTGCATATCAAGCCACTATCAAGCTTTTCTTTGATGAAGTGTCTGTCTACTTCAATATGCTTTGTTCTATCATGCTCGCACTTGGGTTGTGGGCTATACCGATTGCTGACTTATTATCACAATAGAGCTTCATAGGTTCTTCCCACTTTATCCTCAAGTCTTCTAAGATGATTTTAAGCCATAGCAACTCACATATACCTTGTGTCATGGCTCGGAATTCCGCTCAACGACTGGACCGAGCCACTACACCCTGCTTTTTGCTTCTCCAAGTCACAAGATTTCCTCCAAGAAAGGTGCAATATCCTCGTAGTTGACCTCCTATCCACAATTGACCCCGCATAATCGGCATCGGTATAGGCTTCAAGCTTCACATTACCATTCCTTTTGAATAGAATCCCTCTTCCTGGAGTTCCTTTAAGGTACTGTAAAATTCGTAGGCGGCTTGTAAATGGGTCTCCTTTGGGCTATGCATAAATTGGCTAATTAAACTCACCTGCATAGGCAATATCCGGCCCGGTATGTGACAAATATATAAGTCTCGCCCACTAATCTTTGGTACATATCTTTTTCAACGAGCAACATCTTCTTCCGCATTTCCAAGCTTTAGGTTTGGTTCTAATGGGGTACTAGCGAGGTTTGCAAGCTGCCTTGCCGGTTTCCTTGAGCAAATCGGTGATGTATTTCTGCTGAGATATAAATATCCCTTTCTCGGAGTGGGCAACTTCAATTCCCAAAAAATATTTTAGTTTTCCCAAAGTCTTGATCTCAAATTCCTTGCCTAAGCATTGACTCAATAATTGTTGCTCTTCTTTATTATCTCCAGTTAATATTATGTCATCCACATACACCAATAATATTGTTACTCCCCCGACTTGGAATGTTTAAAAAACAAAGTATGGTCCCCTTGGCTTTGTTTGTAACCCGGCACTGTCATAACTTTAGTAAACCTGTCAAACCATGCACGGGGACTCGTTTTAACCCATATAATGCCTTTTTCAACTTGCAAACGAGTGTTGGCGGCAACATCTTTACCATATCCCGGAGGTATCTCCATATAGATTTCTTCTTCAAGGTCTCCATGTAGGAAAGCATTCTTAACATCAAATTGTTCCAAGTTCCAACCATAATTGGCAGCAAGGGACAATATCACCCTAATCGTGTTCATTTTGGCAACCGGAGCAAAGGTCTCCAAATAATCAACTCCATAGGTTTGGGTGAACCCTTTGGCAACTAGTCTTGCCTTATATCTCTCAATTGATCCATCGACCTTGTATTTCACTCGTATAGACCCATTTACATCCAACTGGCCTCTTTCCTATTGGTAAGGTGACTAACTCCCAAGTGTTGTTCTTCTCCAATGCCTCCATCTCTTCATCCATGGCTTGCCTCCATTTTCACGTCGGACAATGCCTCGGATAGGGTATTAGGTAGAAGTACAGTGTTTAGGTTTACTAGAAATGTTTTATGGGTAGGAGAGAAAATTTTAAAGGACAGGTAATTTGAGAGAGGGTAGAGTGGTTGTTTGGTGCATTTTCTTGTTCCTTTTCTAATGGCAATTGGGAGGTCGGGATCATTTTGGGTTTCAATTTCAACCTCGCATGACTGGAGAAAAAATTGTTACCTCTTTTTGTGGAGTCGAGTTGGATTTTGAACATGGCTTGATCCTGGAATGGCCTTAGTCTTCCTTGAGTACACCAGACTTCTTGCCAAATTTTTCGGTTTCAACATCTTCTTGATCGGCTTCACAATTAATTTCACTTTCTTGACCAACTTCCTTTGCTTGACCAATTCCTTGACTTGTTTCATTTGTTACAACTTCAATTTGATCTTCAATTTGATCTTGTTTAGGTTCAAATATCAAGTCCGGAAGAATGGGAAAACCATAATTACTACTTTCAATATGATTTCGTTTAGGTTCAAATGTCATGTCCGGAAGAATGGGAAAACCAAAATCACTACTTTCCTTATCTTCCCCGAAACTCTCCCCTTGAAGATAAGGTTGATGGAAATAGCCCTCTTGTTCATTGAAGGTAACATCCCTAGACACAAAGAATTTTTTGGATGGGGGGTGGTAGCATTTATACCCTTTTTGAGTGGGTGAGTAACCAACAAAGACACACTTTAAGGCTCTAGGATCAAGTTTTCCCCGTCTCGTACTATGAATATGGACATATGAGATGCACCCAAAAACTCTTGGTTTAAGATTATTTGTAGTAGACAAGTTTGGATAGAAAGACGACAAAACTTCCATAGGGCTTTTTGATCCTAAGACTCTAGAGGGTAGTCTATTGATAAGATATGTTGTCGTAAGGACAGACTTCTCCCCGTAAATTTTTTGGGACACTTTTTTGGAACAACAATGCCCGAGTTCGATTTAATAGATGTCCATTTTTCCTCTCTGCGACCCCATTCTCGTTGTGGTGTTTTGACACAAGAGGACTCATGAATTATACCTTCTTTTTGACAAAAAGAATTAAGGACATGATTGAAGTAATCTTTGGCATTATCCGACCTAAGCCTCTTAATATTAACACCAAACCGATTTTTTATCATGGAGTGGAAGTTTAGGAAGACAGAACCGACTTCGATTTTTGTTTAAGTAGGAAAACCCAAGTGACCCTTGTACAGTCATCTATAAAGGTGACAAACCATCGAGTACCGAGACACATTTGGAATATTAGAAGGTCCCCATACATCGAGTATGAACAAGATAAAAAGGGAAATTGCTAATTCTATTACTTATTGGAAAAGATATACGTTTGTGCTTAGCAAGTTCACACACCTCACAATGAAGACTCTCAACATCTAACTTGGTAAACAGAGAGGGAAATATAATTTTGATCACTCCAAAAGAGGGATGTCCCAACCGACAATGATAAAGCATGATTTTTTCTCTGTTGGTCATCAAGGATTCAGATATGAAGGAGTGAGAGATTCTATTCTTGCTTGGGCGAGACTTGGATCTTCGAGATAATAAAGGTCATTCCATTCTCTAGCATGTCCAATCATCCTCCCCGAATCCTTATCCCGAAATACACAATGATCGTTGGAAAAAACAACTTTACATGACAAATCCTTTATAAGTTTTTGTATAGACACTAGGTTCGTGGACAACTTTGGGACATGGAGAACGTCTTTTAAGGTTATTAAAGGATTGATTTGGATATTTCCTTGACCAAGCTGCAGTTATAAGGGTTCCATCTGCTGTGACAATTTTCTTGTTGCTCGGGACATGGGGAATATGTGGAGAAGTGTTTGGCTAATGGTGTCATGTGATCTGTGGCTCCGAGTCCAATATCCAATAATGGTTAAAAGGCGTATCCGAGACATTTAATCCAAAAGAAGGTGGAAACTTACCCGAGTATGCCAAAGAACACATACCCGTAGGTTTTTCCAGACTTACTAAGAATGGTTTTCACCCTTTCTATCTCCTCTTCCCTTGACATTATAGCAAAAAGGTGCGATGCAACAACAATGCAGTCGTCGTCTTAGGATTATGAAAAATGCAGCGACGAATGCAGGTCGTCGTCTTAGGATTAAGAAAAATGCAAGCAGCAATGTAGGCTGCCGTCTTAGGGTTAAGAAAAATGCAGCAGCAATGCAGATCGCCGTCTTAGGGTTACAAAATATGCAGCAGCAATGCAGTGCTGCCGTCTTAGGGTTTATCGAGCGCAGACAGAGCTTCCTAGATCGGAAGCTCGATACCATCTCGAGAAAAATAGATTAACTGAAATATGATTTTTATTATATCAATACAAAGAGATGATATAAGATATATACAAGAGACCTAAACTATTTTAGGAAATATAATAACTCTATTTTATGCTAGGATCCCTTGATTTATGGGATTGTTCCTAATTATTCAAATCTGTACAGATTACAAGGAAATATACAAATTTCCTTATTTATTCTTTCCTAAAATACTATTTGATTTCTCACAATTCCTCTTTGTGATAGCTTTCTATCTGATGTTCAGTTCTTTCGTAGCATAATATCATCATCAACTGTCTCATAGAATAGGCACATCTATCAGCCTAAAAAGTATATTACAACTTGGTGCGCATACTATACCGGACTAAAGGAAATTATCATCGCTTTACACAAACATGCAGTAAAATAACACTAATGATTCTTAGGTATCTATTTGAAAGGTCAATCATGAACAGAACATACATACCCTTAGAGGTTTTTGTTTGTAGTAACCAAGGTCTGCAAACATAGCTTCAGTTCCTGGAGATGGCAAGAAAAACATAATGAATTTGGCAAAGAGAAATAAGGCTTAAGCAGAGCCTCAATTTTGAAAGAGATGTGGACCTGTAACACACAGAAATACTCCTCCAAGATTAGTCCAGCCATCTTTTCCTGTAAGCCTGAAGAACTTGTATATATAATATGGAGAAAGAGCCTGATATACACTTGGGTTCCACTTGATGATATTGTAAATGCCAATCACGAAAATAGTCAGTAACCACAGGATGATTATGGGAGGAAACACAAATGCAACCATGTAGGAGCCACGATGTTGCATAACAAAGAGTCCAACCAGTAGAACACAAGAAATACAAGACACTATACCTGTGAAATGATAAATACATGTGTTTAGATTGCAAAATTGCATAATATATTTCAAGGAAGGAATATAGGACCAGTATCATGTAACAAACATGTCAATTGAGATTAGCATCTTTTCCACTTACTTTTATTTGTAATCTTTGCTTCAATTTTCAGGCCTTCAACAGACGAAAGAACTACAAAAGAATTCTTATCAGCAGAAGTACAAACAGTGCTAATATAATTATACGACATTCAAGCATCAATCAGCTAAGTTGTCCCACCAGACATAATAACATATTTGTGAGAGAAAAAAAATGTGCCCTTACCAGAAATGGCAGGCATGAGTGCACCAACACAAATTACCATGCAAGCACCCAGTAAAACAAAAATAAGCAAAGCCATCTTCGTACTCTTGTGCTTCTCAATGAATCTTTTCAAAGGCGAGGGTAGTGTACTTCTATTTGAGGAACCAGGTTTGCGATATGTAGAAAGCTCCTCATCAGAAGCTTGATGATTAGGAAGCAAACAAAATTTCGCACTTCTGCAAAGCTGTGAATACAAAGCAACAACTCCACCTGTAAAAGTTGAAGGTATTAGCATTACCACAATAATGATAGTAAAAATAAGTTAGAAAAAGGACCGAGCTTGACAGAATAATAAAGAAAAATAGCTCTTACCTTCGCCATTATCATCTGCGCTTAACATAATAAGTGCATACTTCAACAAAGAAATAATTGAAAGAGTCCAAAAGATCAAACAAAATGCCCCGAATATTGCATCCTCATTCTGGACATGTTTCAGTCTTTCCGAAAATATACTTTGATAGACATAAAGGGGGGATAAGCTCAAGTCTCCAAACAAAAAACCTAAACTTTGGTATGCCAAAAACAAAAGTTGTCTATATTGTAATTTCCGTTCTACCTGTTAATAGAGAAAAAGCATTTGTCATACACATATAAAAGGGCTTTAAGTTCAATAACTCAAGGTTAAAAATGAAAGCAGTTAACAAAATAGATTATATAGATATTCAATGCTTCTCTTTCATATTTCACTTCTTTCTGCACAGACATGCGCAACTCCTGTAAGTTGCTGATTTGCCATTACATAATAGAAGACAAAAGGTTGCAAAAGGACACAAGTATTGCATAAAAACTTCTACTTATTGCGGTTTATGTTCAGGAATAGTTTCAATTTCATTTTCTAAGCTTCTACCAACGTTGTAAATGTTCATCACACTATCCACACAACAACTCGCATTTCTTTCTCGATTTCTGAAGCAAAATATATTAAATGATGCCTGTGATCGCCACTGTGCCTTGTTAATTTCCAAATCACACAACACACCCTGTCTCGTTTCTAGGCTAGTGATCCACGATCACATCGACGATCAAGTTTGAAAGAACGGATCTCATTTCACTTCGCACATTCTCTTATTACAGTAAAAAAAAATCGACAAAAACAGTGCTTATGCAATAATCTCTACATCACACATTCATACATGGCATTCGATCGATACTAAGAAAATTCAAATCTGAAAAGACGGAAAGAAGTGCAGAAAGTTCCAGAAGCATTACAGATAGTTTATAAATATACTTTTGTGGTTAGTTAGGGTTTAAACTGAGGGGAAAAAAGGAGGGGAGAACGTACCACGGTTGATGCACCTCGTTCTCTACTCGCATCTGAACTCATAGCAAAGGCAGGAGAAAACAGAGCAAGAGTTTCTTGGTTTTGCGAAAGAGAGCGTTGTCTTGACGTTGAAAATCCACTCCAACTGTGTATTGAGTTGGGACCGCGAAAGTGCCCCCTGTGTAGACCGTGTTTGATTATTTTATCATTTCCATGGTAAACTCTATTTTTCCCATTGCAAAATGGCGTGATAGTGGTAAAAGTGTAATGTAAAATGGCGTGTTCGTTTAAAGATATTAAAATTGAAGAACAAAGAAAAATAAATATTTGATGTCAAACACTATTTATAAAGGTTTCAAATTTTGAGATAAATAACATGTACCTAATCTACTATATATTTAACTTTATATTATCTTGTATTTTCATTCAAAATTCGTCTAGTTGTGGTTTAACTTTATATTTATTTTCTCACTCTTATATATACTGTAAAAACATGAAACATTTTCATTAGAATAAGTGTAGTATGATGAATATATGTTGTTTTTCAATATAGTATAAACTTCAGCTTCATTAAAAAAATAAAGTTTAAATTATTACTAAGTATAACAAATTGTTTTAATATTAATAAAAAAAAAACTGGTTAAAAATCTTATTTAACGTATATTGGTCAAATTTTTCGATTAAATTTCATAAATTCATTTTTTAGTACACGTATCACCCTTAATAAAAAAAATGCTTTCAAGATTACTCATTAAGTTAAGATACTGAATTTTTAAAATTTAAAATAAAAATAAAAAACTAAAAATACAGATAACAAATGTGTATAACATCGCGTACATACATTTTCAATATATATGTTATATCCACACAATAATTTCGTACAAAAAATTATTTTCCAATTTTTCATCATATTACATTTAATCATTTATCTCATGTATTTTTTTTATGTCTTTTATATTTTAAAGATTTATCATAAAATTAATTTCTCAAAACTTATGCTCTTCAAAAGCATCTTGGTCAGATCAGAGAGGCATGCATGCCTTTGGCTAACTAAAAGATAATAGTGAATGTGATATATGTAACATATTTTTATCTCTAATTTCTTCTCTTTTCATTTACATTGAGTCGGAAGTTTCTTTCTAATTTTTTTAACAAACTTTTATGCTAAGTTTGATAGGAAACAAGCTACAATGGCTGTACCATGTGCTGTAAAGGTGGGCCATTGCACAAGCTAGTCCACACATATACCTGCAGATACCTCATCGTGCTGATATGAATGAAATGAATTGATTATGTTTCTGTAAAAGGGAAAAAAAAAAAGAAAAAAAAAGCTGGTTACGGAAAAAATCGTACATGAGAAATGTTCATGTTTACATTATTCAATTAGTTCTGAATCAGGACGATAAATGACGACGTCGACCTTAAGCCGTGGAGAACGTCGTATCTGTCCAAAACATTAAGAAAAAGGTTGCAGAAATGACAGACAAGAAGAAACAATGAGAAGAGATTCTCCCCTAGGTTGTTCCAACTAGCATAATCACCAACATTCGAACAAGTTGATATCCGCACGAAGCCTGAAATAAACTTCTCCTTCAAAAGCATCCGTAGAGAGAGTGGCCACACCCCTAGTCATGAAGAAATCACCAGTCCCTCCGATCACAGAAACGTCCCTAGTTTTATTCATCAAAGGGTCAGCACCTGCGAAGTTGATGCTACCCTTATGCTGCGTGGAGTTGAACACAAATGAGAACCCAAGCCAAGCCGTGAAAATCTCTTTCTTATCGTAAATGTAAAACCCTTGGGCACGTCCTACGGGTGGTGAGTGCAAATTGTTGTCCAAGGTGATAGGGTCATCGAACACAACCACATCGCCAAAATGGTTCTGCCCTGCTAGTATGGTCTTATTTCCCCATGCGGGTGTTCCCACAATGGCTGAAGTTGCGTTCTTGGAGTTATGGCCATTGTATATTATATCGTGGAAATAGAACACCAACTTCTTGCACGGCTCACGAACCCTTTTTTTTCTCCAATGGTTCGTAGAACCCGAAGATCCCACCGTCATCATTAGCAAGAAGAAGAGAGCCAAAATGAACCTCGTGAGTTCCATTGTTATTGATGGCTCAACGTGGAACTATGGGGTCACGAAATTGAAATTTATAAGCACCACTCTAGAGGCTAGAATTTACCCATAAAGCAAAGTTATACATTTATTAAACATATCCGAGCCAAGACTTTCAAGTTTAATAACATGGACAACAATTATTGGAAGCAATGTACTAGAAAAAGTTAGCAACTCGTTTATTAATATAATGCGTTTTATATTTAGGTAAACTTCTTAGGCTGACTGAATATTAGATTCTTGGATGGCCTTGTTTTTGTCTATCTAGTATAGTGAGGCTTGACTTTAAAGGTATGGTTATTATGAGGCAAGAAGAAAAGGACACTGAAAAAGTGCTTATTTTTGGTTTGCTTTATGCCTAAGACTTGCGATATCATTGGATGCACAAAACGTAAAAGGGTCCAGAGACACTCAACCAGATAAATGACTAAACTTGTTTCTGGTGCAACAAGAACTGGTCCTGGTGCTGGTTGGTGCCGCCTCGGAGCCCCACCCAGCAAGCACGTCATCTTCAACTCCAAAACTCAGACTAATCCTTTTTTTAGTTTTAATAAACGAAAAAGCTGGAGCAATTCTCGTATAAATTCTCAAATGTTTAAGGATTTTTTTTTTCTTTTGTACTTCAGATTTAATATATGCTACCTACAACTAGTCATAAAACCCCCCTAGGTATAGTAATTTTTCGATACATATTCAATGTACAGTACAACTCAAGAATTATAATACCAAACTTATCTATTGAAGTGGAAAATAGTTTAAGCTACACACATTTGATTTTGATTTACGAGGCTAATTGGTATTAGATATTTTTAAGTGTTGCGAAATAAAAGCTTTCTCTTGCATCAACACTTAAGAATTTATGTCTACAATATAAATATAAAGTGTGACATTAAGTAAAAAAAGCCCGGTTAAGCTGCTTATAAAGTATTTTGTTAGTTTAATTTTCTGATTAAAATACCAAGTAAATATTTAATCAATTTAACGCTCTAGAATTTCAAATAGAAAAGAAAACATTAATAGGATATTAGGACCATTCTAAGTCAAGGAGTGGTTACTCCTACTTACTATACAATTATAATTAAATACCTAGACAATGATCTGTGTAAATTCGGTATTGAATCATTACAACGTGCGAGTGGAGTTGTTGTACCGTAGTTGTACCATATTTGCTCCACTATATATGTATAAAGATTATTATTAAAATATGCACGTTTAATTTTTGAGTTTTCTTCGTGTTATATATATATATATATATATATATATATATATATATATATATATATATATATATATATATATATATATATATAATTTATTTATCTTTGAATCCCAATAAGTTTTTACATTTTGATTGTAAACTTCAACTTTTTTTTGTCATTTTAGTACTCTATACTTGATCTTTTATTTTTATTAACATTATTTCTAAGTAAAATTGATATGACTATTTTTTAAAATTTATTTTGTTAAAAGAAAAAGAATTAATAAATGTGATGAAAGTGATGTGTTGTTTCCCTTGATCAATTAAGGTTTTCATTTTTTTTCCTTTAGTATTTTCAAATTAACCGTCTATCTTAAAAAGAATAATTATTTTGAAAAAAAAATCTTATATTTATCAATTTTCATTATTATTATTGAGTAGTGAAATCAACAAAGTAATATTTATTCTCATCTTTATTTTTATCATATTTATTCTTTTTTCGTATTGATTTTTCTTCATATATCGCATCATCTCATTGAATTACAGTGTATTCTTTTTGACTAACACTTTCTCCAGAAACATAACGCACAACCATTTTCATCCCGTATTACAACCTCAATTTGAACATTTACTCAATATGTCAAACCTCATTCAAACCATCCTGTTAGAGAATCTTTGGATATCAGTTCGAAAGGAGCCCCAAAAAAGGGGTAATTTGATCAAATAAAGTATGTGCAGTATATGACCGGAGGAAGGAATATATATACCTCTTGTAATCTTAAACAACAAGGACAAACACAATGTACAAATCTTCCTCCTTTGATTAGGAGATTTTTTTTTTACTAATACTGACTTTGAAAATAACATTAACACAAATAATTGCATTTTTCATTTTCTTACTTTTTTTTTTTAACTAATAACATTAACAAGCATAGCTTGTTCTTTCACTTCTTTGTCTTAAGAGTTATATAGATTAATAATAATAAATAATTTCATAAAAACTTCACTTTTATTCAAATAGGAGTACAACTCTGTATTTAAACACTATCAAGAATTAATTTTCTAAAAATTAAAATGTTATCTCCCTAGAATAAAAAATGTTGTACAATAATGTTAATCAATAACATCACTTTCTAAATGTTTCATGGTTATAAAACATTTAAATAAGTCTTCCCAAGCTTATTATTAATTTTACCTAACAAAACTCTAGCATAAAATTAATTCTCTACATCTAAGAACACTTGAGATCACTGTGATATCGACCTCAAAACTCCCTACTAGCTCTCGGCTTGACTAATCTCTCGATTGCTGATTTGCCAAACTTTCAAGCTTCTTACTAGATGACTTGTCATCTTCCTGAGCACCTCGAGTTCCTTCCATTCTTTATCACGATAATCCATATCTTCACACCAGCCATTGTCCAAGTACCCTACAAGTCGATAATTATCTGACATCTTCATCCCTAGTTCCATGGGATTGATTCCAAATTCTTTTTTCACGTATCCAAGTGGTTGCTCATCATTCACCTTCTCCTTGAGCACATCATCCAAAAGTGTCAACTTGACATCCACCTACTTCACTCCAACAACTCAGTTATATCTCTCATCTTCCTTGAATACCTGCTGCACACCAACAGGTCGAGCATAGCTCAATAATTTGGTATTTATCAAGGTATTATTGTGTTCTCTAACTCAACCTTTCTCATCCATAACAACTCAGATTTTCTCTTTAATATCAACCTGAATCTTCTCATCAATAAGAGCTTGAATATGGTCACTTCGAAATTCACTACTTGGACTTAACTCAGATTTTTCTCTATACTCAGCATTATTCTCAAGTAGAATTGTCGTCTTTTTACAGACAACTCTTTTGTAAACTCTCCACTTCATGCTCTTCATGTTTTTCTTTACCTTCACCGATTCAACTATCTCTTCCTCCTTGGTTTTCAAACATGTTACTACATGTGGTGTAGCAAGTCAGACTCTATCATCCTTTTCATATCATCATTTTTAATCACGCACAACTTCCTTCTCTCTTTTCAATTTGATAACAATTGGTGACACTTCAGCTTGTCCTACTCGATCTTTTTCACTTGCATCACCAATTCGGACAATATCATGATTATCATCATGAATCAACTCAGTTAAACCACAAAAATATATGTGACCAGATCGGTAATTTTCCTTCAATGTGTCATCTACATTTGATTTCATATTCCTCTCCCGAATGCTTCTTAGTTGCAACTTATACATTATATTCTTCCCCATCTTTACTCGAGTAATCAACCTTTCAAAATTGTCCTTCAATTGTAGTACTCGATCTTTCATGAAAATTGTGTACCCTTTCTCCATCAATTGTCTCATACTTAAAAGATTACTCTTTAGATCTAGAACATAAAACACATCTTGGATTGTCTCCACCAGTTTATCCTTCTGTAAATAGAAGGATTGTGTCTCAGCCTTTTACCAAGACTCTCAAAGCGTCTCCAAAAGACACATGATTGCCTTCATATTTCTCCAATTTGCTAAATAGGTGTTTCTCCACACATATGAAATTACTCGTACTCGTATCCAGATACTATACCAACTCGTGATCACTTTTGGACTGAACTTCATCCCTCTTATTTCCCATGTGAATGACTGAATCATGAGCGTTGGTTCTTCTTGCCCATCTGTGAAATAGGTCTGACCTATCTTCTAGTATTCTCTCGCAAAATGTCTCTCCTTTCCACAATTAAAGCATTTTCTTGAGTAACAATCTTTCAAATAGTGATCATACTTGTCACACTTGAAAACTCGATATTTGAGTGGTTCGTTAACCGACCTCCTCTTCCTTGCCAGTTTTGTTGAACCCCTCTTCCTTCTTGTCACCTTGACCACCGAATCCAGATCGGCCACCTTGAAACCGGTCACTACGTCCTCTTCCTCTATTATTCTGAGAATAGAACGTTTTCTCCTCGGACTAGAGCAGTTTCACACTCGTGTCCTCGTCTTCCTTATCTTTCTCCATTCGGTGTTCATAGGCTTCAAAAGATTCAACCAATTCTTTTATTGAAAGCTCGGATAAGTGGGACACCTGTTCAAAAGATTTTGTTAATGACCTCAAGATCTTTTCAATGATTTGTTATTTGGAAAATACATCTCCATTCTGATTAAGATGTTTTGCCATATTTTTAACATGCATGACATATTTGGACATATTAAAACTTTTTCTGATTCCTTCATCTTCATACTCTTCATCTCACTTTGTAATGTCTAACGTTGAATCTGTATGACTCAATCGTCTTTCTTGTGCTCTTTCTTCAACTCGTCTCACACATGGGATGTCGATGTGACTCTTACAATCTTCTCAAAGTCAGAACTTTCTACAACTCGAAACAACAAAAGCTGAGGTGCATTGTCTTTCTCACGTTTTTTCTCTAACTCCTGAGTTCATTGATCACCAATTCTTTTGTGGTCTCAAGTTGTTCAAAATCTTTCTCCACCATCTTCCAAATACTTTGGGCTTTAAGAAGAACCTTCATCTTGGTACTCCATTTATCATAGACATCATTTGTCAGTCGAGACACAACTGCAGTAGCATTTATCAGACCAATCATCTCACTTTTTTACTGACACTCAAACCGTAATTCTCGCTCTTCTAAATAACCTTAGTTCTTCTAAAAGACCCTAACTGCCCCTCCCTCTAAAAATCTAATATTAATTTGATAACATATAATTTCTGAGAAACTTAAAAACTTTACTTTTATTGATTATTTATTATACTGAAGATATGATTATAACTATGCATT